CCAAATCGAACCTGGGATCCTTCAGTCCGCAGGCCGACACTCTATCCACTGAGCCAAACCAGTTAGGGCCAGAGCCCACAGTCTTAACCATTTCACCCTTCTGTCCCCTGGTTATACTGGTCTCAACCTGACCAGTGGAAATTGGGTATTAATAAGCCTATGTTCAAAAGTGATGCTGGCCTCGGAATATGTCATTGGTGATTTGCCCTCGGAGAGGACACAGTTCTCAACACTAGCACTGCTCAGGAACTGCGATGCAGACCAAGGAAGCAGTGTAAAAACACTGTTGAGCCCGGCCGTTGTGGCTCAGTGGTTGAATGTTGATGCACGCACCAACCTGCCTCCAGAGCCCACAGTCTTTTTAAAAAAAATATATTTTATTGATTTTTCACAGAGAGGAAGGGAGAGAGATAGAGAGTTAGAAACATCGATGAGAGAGGAACATCGATCAGCTGCCTCCTGCACACCTCCCACTGGGGATGTGCCCTCAACCAAGGTACATGCCCTTGACCAGAATTGAACCTGGGACCCTTCAGTCCGCAGGCCGACGCTCTAGCCACTGAGCCAAACCGGTTAGGGCCAGAGCCCACAGTCTTAACCATTTCACCCGTCTGTCCCCTGGTTATACTGGTCCCAACCTGACCAGTGAAAATTGGGTGTTAATAAACCTATGTTCAAAAGTGATGCTGGCCTCAGAATATGTCATCAGTGATTTGCCCTCGGAGAGGACACAGTTCTCAACAGGGGCACTGCTCAGGAACTGCGATGCAGACCAAGGAAGCAGTGTAAAAACACTGTTGAGCCCGGCCGTTGTGGCTCAGTGGTTGAATGTTGATGCACGCACCAAAAAGTTGCTGGTTCGATTCCTGGTCAAGGCACATGCCCAGGTTGTGGGCTCGATCTGCAGTGGGGAGTGTACAGGAGGCAGCCAACTGATGTTTCTCTCTCATCGATGTTTCTATCTCTCTCTAAAAAATCAAGAAAAAAGCAAAACCACTGTTGAGCACAAAGCCACTTTGTAGATGAGCCATCCTCGAGAAAGCCATTGATTATACCACCTGTACCTGTGCCTTTAATTTTAGAATTTTTGCAGCTTAGAGATTACCCAGTGTGGCGAGTTGATCCTCTTGCAAACTGCCAAGATGTTGAGGCTGAATAGGAAAAAAAAGTGTTTATTTGGCCAGATGGAGATGTGAGGGGATTGCAGAGAAGCACCAATTAAAATTTATTACCCCATGGAAAAGGGGTGGATGGAAGAGGTTGGCAGATAAGGACGCAGCCTTGGTGAGGCAGATGGTTGGCTGGTTAGTCAGGATTGAGCTGATCCAGAGTGAACACCCCAACTTTTAAAAAGTTAATTTGAGCAAATGAGGAATTGGGGAATTGAATGTCTCCATTGTAAACATTTCTAATTTCACCTAGGAAAAGAGTTTAAAAGAAATGTTGAGAACATGGTAAAGTAAAGTGCGTATCATAGATGGTTCTGAGCAGCCCTTCAGAATTTTCATTCCAAGCGAGCTGGGTTCTTAGTTCAATAAACAGTTCATCGTATCTGGCCCAGGGAGGCCTCGGGAAAGGGATGGAAAGTTAAAAATACAAAGTGTTCCTTTAATATATGTTTTCTCAAATTCACTGCCATGCACTTGAAAAGAATTATTTTGCACATTCTTTCTTATTTGTGTTTCTCGCAGTTAAATATAGACTGAGAACATATAGCAATAAAAATTCAAACAAGGCCAATATTTTATAGCAGAACATATTGAATCAAAATGTTTGGCCCTGAGAACTTCAGTGTGCTTGGATTTCTTTGCTCATTTCCTTTTGCTACATGAAAGGGGGTTTGAGTCGGAGAGAAGTCCTATTTTAAACTCAATTTTCACCAAAAGCTCTTGAATCCCTGAAAATTTTACATGGTTGTTGATCTTACCTTATTTTTATATAAGCATATAAATTATATATTTAATCTAAGTGAAAGGTCTAACAAAATACTGATGGTACATATATTATTCATGGAGATAATATTTGCATTCATATCCTGCTATAATTGTAAGTTTAAAGATGATCAAGACATAGGAATACATGTTTTGTGATTTGTTATGTATGTCTGGCATAGTAGCTGCATCTCATTTTTCATTTATGTAATGCACGTTTATTGAGTTGGTTAAATCCCTCCTACAGGCCACGTGTTGAATAATGAATAAGGTACAATATATTTGCTCCAAATGGAGACATAATCCAGTTAGGACTAGAAGACACAGAAAAATCTAGCATAATTCCTAGTATATTTTTAGCACGCAATAAATACTTGTTGAGTAAGTGAATGAAAGAATGAATGAATATTTAGAAAGGCAAAGCCAAAGCCTTGAATATTAAAGTCTGATGTTTCAAGATTGTAATTATGTGTTAAGTATGTCAAATACATCACTCTTCCACACCCAGTACATCTGGAATCTGGTCAATGGAGGTTGAGGCTTGTTTCCTCCTTGAGAGAAGTCACCTCATGTAACACGAAGGGTCCACTTCCCTTTCGGTCTAGTGCTGGACATTCTGTGTCGAGTCCTGTTACTCCTCTGGGTTTCAGTCAGCCTCAGGAAGGAGGGTCTAGAGAAGTAGGATTGGAGTCTAAGACAAAAGGCTGAAGAAACTAGATCTGGGTTTGTTTTTTAAGGTACTGACAAATGATACAGTAACTGTTGTCAAGGATGTATTGTTCCAGTATTGAAAAAAAATATTTGCAGCATTTCCATAAATGAGGAACACACACAAGACAATTAGAAGTTCAATTAGACATAATGAAATATAAATAGTTCTTAATAGTGTGGAGATGGAACTATGGGACTCCAGAAATTGACAGCCAATCAGCTGGCTTACATGGTCACTTAAGTACATTCCCCTCTTCAGGTAAAAATCTCATCACTCCACCAACTCTACCAGCAACACACAGAAATATCTCTGTTTAATATCTGCTAGTCAATAAAATATATTTTTATCCAATTAGATTCAGGTAAAGTCAGAGGAAACTGAATGCTAGAGGTCCAAAAATGGCTGTAATTGTTGGCATTTATCATGCTAACTCTGTGCTAAACTTTACATGCATTTTTTTCTTATTTTTTCATCATTAAGTAATTTTCCAAAGGTAACACAGCTACTAAGCGGAACTAGAATTTTAAAATCTAGGTTAATTCCTTAACCTGAAACATCAATCTCTAGGCCAAATCCAAGTTAAGGACACGGAATATTGGAAATTCCAAGAATGATTATTCAAATTTCTTATCATGGAAAGACCAACAAGTGAACTACCTCCCCGCCAACTTATTCTGCTTAAAGACGAGCAGGGACTTTGTGCAAAAATGTGTGAGTCATGATTACATGCGGGAAATGGTTACATTAGAAACTATGTCCAAACTCTCCAATTGCTGATTCAGTTTCTGATAATCAGTTTATAAAAGTCCTGAGTAGATTAGAAAATTACTGAAATAACTTAAGAGTCCTGGGGGACTTGCCTGGTAGTGTTTCTTGCCAATCCCTTTACTCCACACGAACGGGAGGATGGAGATTGAGCAAGTAGATTTAACAGAACAGCTCTTATTTCTGGAAAACCAAGCAAATCTGTTTCTCAGTCACCTCCTGTCCTGGAATTGCTGGTGCATGTTAACAGTAGGAGTTAGTCAGCTGGCCGTCCTGGAACATGTCTGGCTTTCTTTCAGGCACATTTTTCAAAAGAACGAGGATAACTAGGTCATAACTTTCACTCATGTTCCTTGAGACATGTGGGATGCCTGTGCTCTTACGCCCTGCAAAAAACAACTGCAAGACGGCTCCCTTTTGGCACTTGTGTCTTCCTCCACAAATCTGAGCGCTCCCCAGTGTGATTGCTCTCTGAGTCATTAGACGTTTAGATTCTGCATGTAATGGTCAATAGGAGGTCTTCTTAGGTTATAAAGGAAAATGAAAGGATTTTTTTCAGACAACCTGCTATCATGATTCCTCTTTAGAACTTGATGTCAAACATTTGTTCTATAAGAGTGTGCTGTTATATACATGGCAAGTAGAGATGGTTTCAAAATTACATCAGAATAAGAAAAGCCTTTG